CGGTAGCCGGGAGCGGCCACTGCACTCCAGTCTGGGTGACAGAGTGAGACTCCAACTCAATAAATAAATAAATGAATAAAAATTAAAATTAAAGAGTACATGTTATGACCAGGCATTGTTCCAGTGCACAGTTGGATTCACTGCCTCTATCAGAGCCCATTTGATGTGACAAATGTGAAGGATAAAATGATAGGGGCAAGGGAAGAAAGAGAAACAATATTATTTCTTCTGTATACAAAGTCATGGTGATAAATAGTCCTAGTTATGTATTTTTACATTTGTTCTGTATATTACCTTCATGCCCTCTTCTAATATGAAGTGACTAAATTTTCTTATTGTCCTCTGGTCTCCAGGTACCGCATCTTTGCTTTTGATCATGACCTCTTTAGCTTTGCAGACTTGATCTTTGGCAAGTGGCCTGTGGTTCTTATCACCAATCCTAAATCACTCCTCTATAGCTGTGCTAAACATGAGCCACTAGAAAGACTCCTATACTCAACACACATCAGGTATGTAGCAGTTTTTCAGAATTTTCTTTCAGTTTGATAATAATAGAGAATAAGTCATTGTGATTGTATTGACATGTGAAAGCTATGAGATGCCCCACCTTAGTTTTCTCAACAACCTAAACATTTTATATAGATTGCTTAGTGTTTCATTCCCATTCAGTTAAAAAATATCTGATTTTTTAAGCTGATGACATTTTTTTAAACAACCGGCCTGTTTATTATTTGTGTGTATTTCATGCCAGCTTTTTTGTTTACATGTTTTTATATTGTTATCAGCATAATGTACATATTACTTTATAACTTACTTTTTAACAATTGCATTATATAGCAGAAATTTTTTTTCATTTAGCTACATAACCCTTCTAAAAAAGTAAGCAAAAGCTATAATTCTTATGGAATTAGAAATTCAGCTGGCATGTGAATTTGATGATGTAATTTAATAGAATCCTAATGGAACATGAACATTCTTTTTGCAAAGAGACATCACTTTTTTCAAATGTAAGGGTACTTTATGAAATGTTATAAAATGTTATTTTAAAAATTTTTTTTGAAAAGTAATAGAACATAACAACCTTTGGAAAAAAGAGTGACAGGGTTATAAGTGTATTTTTTTCCCTCTAATGCAACTACTAGTAGCATTTCTGAATGTTCCTTCTCAGGCATACACTTTTATGATTATATAGCTATAATGCACAGTCTATTCTAATTCCTATTTTTTTTTCAACACAGAGAATGTTTCACAGTTTATTGAACTACTTCCATATCTTATTGGTAAACTTTTTGACTTTTTCTTATTTGGGGATGTACATCTGGTACATATAGAGTCTTTCTTCACCTGAATAATTTCTTTAAAGTAGGGTTCTAGAAGAGGATGGTAGGTGAAAGAGTTTGAATTTTTTTTTTACTGTTGATAAAGATTTCCCAATTTTTTCTTTGTGGAACTAAAGTCACTGTTATTTTTAATCATGGTGAAATATGCATAGCATAAAATGTACCATTTTAACCATTTAAGTGTACAGGTCAATGGTATTAAGTTTACATTGTTGTGTAACCATTACCACTATCCATTTCGAGGACTTTTTTCTGAAAATGGATATTTTCCGAAATGGAAATTCTTTATCTATTAAAAAATAATTTCCCATTTTTCCCTTTTCCCATTCTCTGGCAAATACTGTTCTTCTCTCTGTCTCTCTATGAATTTGACTATTCTAGCTAACTCATATAAGTAGAATCATCCAGTATTTGTCCTTCTGTGACTGGCTCATTTCATTTAACATGATGTCCTCAAAGTTCATCCATATTGTAGTATATGTCAGAATTTCCTTCCTTTTAAAGGTTGAGGCTGGGTGCAGTGGCTCACGCCTATAATGCCTACACTTTGGGAGATGGAGGCGAGAGAATTGCCTGAACCCGGTGTCTGAGACCAGTCTGGGCAACTGTGAGAGACCTTATCACTACAATAAATACATTTAAAAAATTAGCCGGATGTGGTGGTGCATGCCTGTGGTTCTAGCTATTTGAGAGGCTGACTGAGGCAAGATCAACTGAGCCCAGCAGGTCAAGGCTGTGGTGGCTGTGAGTGTGCCGCTGCACTCCAGCCTGAACATCAGAATGAGACCCTGACTCAAAAAAAAAGAAAAAAAGGTTGAATAATATTCCATTTCATATATATACTACATTTTGTTTATCCATTCATCTGTCAGTGAACACTTGTGTTGTTTCTACCTTTTGACTACATTAAATAATACTTCTATGAACATGGGTATACAAATATCTGTTCAAGCCCCTGCTTTTACTTCTTTTGGATATATACCCAGAAGTAGAATTGCTGAATCATATGGTAAGTCCATGTTTAATTTTTTACAGAGCTGCCATACTGTTTTCTATGGTGGTTGCACCATTTTGCACTCCCCCCAGCAGTGTAACAGGTATCCAATTACCTTTAAAAATAGATACTAATTTTTATTTATTTATTTATTTATTTATTTTTAGTTGGAGTCTCACTCTGTTGCTCAGACTGGAGTGCAGTGGCCACTCCTGGCCACCGCAGCCTTGACCTGCTGGGCTCCGGTGATCCTTCCACCTCAGCCTTCCAAGTAGCTGGAACTACAGGCGCGCGCTACCACGCCTGGCTAATTTTTTGATTTATTGTAGAGATGAGGTCTCGCCAAGTTGCCCAGGCGGGTCTTGAACCCGTGGGCTCAGGCAATCCACTCACCTCAGCCTCCCAAAGTGCTGGGATTATAGGCTGAGCCACTGAGCCCGGCCGGATACTAATTTATAATATTACCAAACAGTATGATTATCAAATTAATAGTACTCTTATTGTTAATGGATATTATAATTTTTAAAATATTTACTAATTAATTAGAAAGAAATAGTACCAAGATGTTTATATTTACTATTTTCATCACCAGTGAAGCAGAGCACACATTTGTTGTTCGGGTTTTTTGATGGGACCTGGATATCAGGGTTAGATGTCATACTTTGAAAGGGCCTGGTAGTCTAGTCCTACTTGTGACTTTGCTTCAGATACACCAGGAACTAAATAAGAACATGGTATGTTTGATATTAGATTAACAAAATGAAAAGCCCACCCTATGATCTTTTCCTAAGAGAAAACAGGACTTCAGAAATTTCTTCAGAAAGAACTTTGAATCTACCTTAACTCTACCTTTAAAAAAATTTACCTTTGTTAAAAGAAAATTGATTTTTCTTATGCTAAAGTGTCATGTTAAAAAAGAAAAGTGTTGATTTTTCTTTCTGAAAAGTAAAAAGTAAAGGAATAGTTCCTAATTTTTCACCAATTCATTTTTACTGAATTGTACAACTTCTAAAAGTCACCATTCATAAAGAAACCAGATCATATGAATCGTGGTCCCAATAGTTGTACAGTGTGATGACTCTGCCTATACTTATATATTTTCAAGTTACAATAGAGGTATTTTCCTTTATAAAACAATGAAAAATACCTAAATCCTTGTGTTTTATATATGCTCTCATTTTAGAGTCTTGGCCTTTTCCTTATCCTCCATTACTTCTGTCACAGTTGAGATTGATGGAATTCATTTAGGACAGGCTGTTCATTTGTCTGGCCCTATTTACATACTAAAGTGGAACCCTAGAAACTACAGCAATGGGACACATAACATAGAAGTGCTTGTCCAGGTAAGTTACTAATTTGGATTTACTTGTAAATGCTGTAAAAATCATTGTGCTGTAGTCACAGTGATTTCTGATTTGGGATTTTTTAGTCAACTGGTAAAGAAACTATGTTTAACTTAACATTCTAAATATACTCTGTTTAGTATATTCTAAAAGTGGGCACTCAGGAGTAATTCTACTATTAGACTAAAAACTAGGCAGAGGAGGAGTGTGCAACTACTGGCCATGGTCCCCCCCTTTTTTAACTCCAGGAAACCATTCTCTTGTTTTCTTCCAACTTTGAACAAGGTCTTTTAATAATGGGGACAAATTTCCCAGTATACCAAAAGATAATAGAATATGTCAGAAAACATGTATTATGTATCCATGCCTTTTTAATTTTTATTTTAAAGATGTGGGTTACAATTCAGGGTTAGGTATACAAATAGTCATTGTATGGGTAAAATTTGGGCTTCACTTTGGTCCCCACATCACCTGGTTTGAGATCTGGTACCTTTATTGATAAAGTGTGCACCCTCGCTCCTTCCCCTGGCAGTTTCCCACTGCTGCCAATATCTTTCTTTTCTTTTCTTTTTTTTTTTTTTTTGAGTTGGAGTTTCACTCTGTCCCCCAGACTGGAGTGCAGTGGCATGCTCCCAGACACCGCAGTCTTGACCTGCTGGGCTCTGCGATCCTTCCTCCTCAGCCTCCCAAGTGGCTAGAACTACAGGTGTGCGCTACTATGCCCGACTGGTTTTTTGATTTATTGTAGAGACAAGTCTCACCAAGTTGCCGGGGCGGGTCTCGAACCCTCGGGCTCAGGCAATCCACTCACCTCGGCCTCCCAAAGTGCAGGGATTATAGGCTGAGCCACCGAGCCCCGCCTCTTTCTTATAGTATTATGATAATTCGTGCCTTTGATTGTTGGCTCAAGTGTAGGAAAATTGTGTCACTATTTGAAAACTCTAGGACACAGAATTTTCAAGGCATCATGGAACATTTTTGCTTGGGGAGTATGCATTGTTAGCATATGCAGTACCGGTCTGCCTATCCTTACTCCGATTCAGTTTGGGGCATTTAATTCATTAGCACCTGCCAGAGTAGAAAATGGTTATCATTACCAAATAGAGCAGTTTCATTAAACTCTTTCAGGGATAAGCTGTGCTCAGAAATTAGTTTCAAAAAAAAAAAGAATTGGCCAATTTCTACAGTTTTATGATTTGATAATAGTTTTTAAAAACTATTTCATCTTCTAATGTTGTCTCTGAAACCCCAAGTAAGTTTTCAGAAAAACTCATGTAATTATTTTCGTTATCTTTTTTCCCTCCTACAGAGACAGGTTGAGCAGGAAGGAATTATTTACTGAGTTCCTTCTTTTTTTTTTTTTTTCCAACTAAAACATATTTATTTAGTATACATCACAAGGGCTCTACCAAAGACTTAATTTAAAAAACAAGCAAAACAAAAATAATACCACAGCTCAAGATCAAGGAAAGTACAGGTCATCTAAGGAAAAGATAAAATAAAAGACGACACAGGAGAGGCTGGACAGCCCGGGTCAGGGCTCCTGACTGGAGACCTGCTTTGAGTAGATTTCTTGCCGGTACTTCTTAAAAGCTCTGGGATTCTTCCAGAGCTGGGCAGCGTGTGTGCTTAAAGGGCTATGGATGTTGGGTTCTCCTAGCAGGCTCTGGATGGAGAGCAGGATGTCATAGAGGACAGACCACTAGTCCTTCAGGATGTCCAGGCAGATGTTACCCTGGGTGTCCACGTTGGGGTGGTAGCAGAGCATAAGGAATTTCACTGTGGGCGCATTGTAAGGGTAGCCTCTGGGGAACTCCAGAGAGCTTATACCTCGGGTCTTCATACACTGTTCAGCTGCTCCATGGACGGTCCCTACCCATTTGAAAAGGTTGTCTCATTCAGGAAAAGCAGAAATTCCTTTGTCACCAGACACCATTAAGGTTATCAGCTCCTGCTGTAGCCTTTTGTCCACGGGGCCCGGGGCGGCGCCCCCACTAGACTCGGCTCTTACTGGCGGCAACGACACTGCCGTGGCTGGGTCGCAGTTTTGGGAAGCCATCCAGGAGGCGCTGGCAGGAGGACAGGAAAACAGAGAACACGACTGCAACTGCCCTGAGTTCCTTCTAAGGAGATGTCAGGCACTTATAATTTTTTTATTTAATCCATATGATAAATCCTATGTAGTGGGTAATTTTATCTTCAGTTTGTAATGGGGAAACTTGTATGTCTGCACAAGAGAGAGCACATTGCTATGTCACCCATCTTTGAAGTGTTGTGCATAGAAGGAACAGAAACTTATAGGGAGAATGTAGAAGGAGATATGACAGGGGATGAACTCTAAATGTCTTTCATATTAGAAGTTGAATCATTTTAAAGAGAATAAATTATTCTCTATCTTTACATCTAGAATAAATTATTCTCTATCTTTACATCTAGAATAAATTATTCTCTATCTTTACATCTAGAATAAATTATTCTCTATCTTTACAATCATGAGAAGAAGTAGGAGCAATGGGAAACACCAGATTCTTGGCTTGCCTCAGGACCCCAGTGTATTATTTTCTCAATAAGAAATACAGTTTCTAGTTCTACGAAGAAAAACTATAGCTTATGTTCCTCTCAGCATTTCTGGATGCTTAGTTGAATCCTTAGTAAAATTGGGAAATCATATACTTTTCATATGTATAACATTTCTTACTACATTATTGAGGTATAATTTGCATACAACAAACTATGTATTTTAAGTGTATGTTTGATGAGCTTTGACATATTCGAGGGGGAACTAAAAAAACCCTGGAATTTATTTATGAACAATTGTGTAATTGTTTTTACATGTTTAAATTTCAGTCATCTTCAAAATACTCTCTGTTTGGTGCAATACACCTATGGAGACACTTTTTCCATTGCTCAAAACAGTTTTGAACTAGTCAATTTTGATGTCTTTTAGTGCTTATGCTGTTTTTGTTTCACGTATTCCACATAGGCAAAACGTTTCCTTTTGAGGAGTTTTTCCATCCCGGGGAAATAATCAAAAAAGTCACTTGGGGCAAGATTGTATGAATAGGGTGGGTGGGGAATGGGGGTCATGCTGTTTTTGGTCAAAAACTGCTGAACACTCAGCACAGTGTGGGCAGGTGTGCTTGTAAATCACCCATCATGAAATGGGCAAACACATTGAATCTCAAAAAAAATTTCACTGAAGTCGAATGCAGCCTCCCACAACAACACTAGCTGGTACACTGATGCCAATGGATTCCTAGAACTTACCTTGTTGGGGAAGCCAGTACTACAAAGGGCCTGCCCTCCAAAAAATTATTCTGTTTTTTTTGGATCTCCCTCATATCTACATTCTTGAAACTGTTACTACAATCGAATGGTACATTTCCCTCAATAGTTTTCTTATACCCTTTTGCAATCTGCCTTCATCCCATCCTCAACCCCAGGCAACCACTGGTCTGTTTTCTGTCTTATATATATAACTTTAAATAATTAATCTACTGAATACTGAATAGGGAACTTGGTCCCCTCATTGATTAATGGGAAAGTTCTGTCCTTTTAAATACAGTACACTATAGATAAGTCTGATTTGAAACTCAAAATCTGTGTGAAAAGTTATCATCTAATATTTTATCTACTCACTATATTTGTTGAATATCTATAGGTACCTAGCAGCCTACTAAAAACTAAACCTTTAGATCAACTCTCAGTGTGGGTCCTGGACTAGCAGCATCAAACATCACCTAGGAACTTGCTAGAAATTCTCATTCTCAGGTCCCATCCTAAACCCACTGAATCAGAAACTCTGGAGATAGGACCCAGCAATCTAGCTTAACAATCTCATGAGGTGTTTCTGATGTGCACTAAGATTTAAGAACCAACTTAAAGAGTAGACTTGAGGAATCTCTAGTCTCAAAATTGAAGAAAATCTCTGCTTTAAAACAAGAATCTATAATTTAAGATAAGCACATTTTGAGCAACAAAAGTTTAATAAACACTAGTATAAGTTCTTTTTGTTATTTTAAAATTTTTTATGAGAAATTTTAAAATTATGTGGAGTTAATACTGTATGAACTTTTATGTATCCACTAGTCAATCTCAACAATTATTAATTTATAACCAATCTTGTTTCGTCTTTCTCTCTATCTCTCCTCCTTGCACCATGATGTCATTTCATCTGTAAACATATCAAGCTGTGTCACTAACAGATAAGGACTATTTTAAAAACATAATCATAATGCCATATCACACCTGAAAAATTAATAGCAATTTCTTAACATCAGACTAGCTAGTATTCAGTTTTTCCAGTGTGTGATATGTAGATATTTGCATTTCATTGATTCATATCAGAATCCAAACAAGATTTATGCATTGCATTTAGCTGACTTGTCTCTTTCATCTCTTTTACTCTATAGGTTCCCTCCCCTGCCTCCCATACTTTTTCTTTCCCCTTAATTTATTTGCTTTGGAAACTGGAACTTGGTCTTATAGAGGTCTCTGCATTCTAGATTTTTGCTATTTATATCCCTGTGGTGTCTTTTTACTATTTATATCCCTGTTATATCCTTTTTGCTATTTATATCCCTGTTTAATCAGCGTCTCACTCTGTCACCCAGGCTGGAGTACAGTGGCACCATCATAGCTCACCACAGCCTCAAACTCCTGGGCTCAACCTATCCTTCCACCTGAGCCTCCCAAGTAGCTGGGACGACAGGCATGCACCATCCCACCTGGCTAAATTTTTGATTTCTTGTAGAGATGGGGGTCTTGTAATGTTGCCTAGGCTAGTCTCAAACTCTTGGGCTCGAGCAGTCCTTCTACTTGGACCTCCCAAATTGCTTGGGATTATAGGCATAAGCCATTTCACCCAGCTTATGGTATCATTTAATATGTTCCCCTATCCCACTCCCCTTATTTCTATAATTGGTATTTAGATTTAGAGGTTTGATCAGATCTGCCTCTGCCTGTTTTTTGGCAAGACTACTTCATCTGATGTTATACCCTTTTAACAGGCTGCCCATATATCTGGTTGTCTCTCTTTATGTGATATTGAGATGGATCAGTGTATTCAGGTGTTGGTAGCTTTATCCACTATGTGCTAGTATATATTTAACCACCGACTTGGGGCATGTTGCAGGTGTGGAGGAGGAACCTGATTTGTAGTACTTTCCTGATTTGTACCAATTCTTATAATATAAATGTTTCTACCATGGCTGGTATTATGCTATCAACACCATGTTAACTGACTTGCAAAATTGCTGAAAATTTAAAAATTAGACCTTGTGAGCCAGTTAAGCAAGCTCCAGCACACTGCTGGCTCATCCTTTCATCAGCTTTTCACTCAAGGCTTTTTAGTAGCTATTGATAATATTTGCCTAGATCCAGTTTATCATTAGTTATACAATTGTGATATTCAAATGTTCTCTCCTTATTATAGGAGGATTAATTAGAAAGTCATAAAAAGAAAAGAACTTCCCTTATCTGTTTGGTCATACAGGAAATGCAGGATAAATTCTTGATTCCCCATCACCCCTTTACTAAAACAGTTTTCAGAATAATGAGTTGCTTCTTAAGCATCTGCCATAGGTGACCAATGAATCTTTTTATTTTTAGTATTATTATGAATTCAAAGCTTTGAAAAATGTATATACTTTGATGTGTTTCAATCCATTGCATTTATTGTTTTCAATGCTTAAATTGTTCCATCTGTGTCTAGTGGGATCCTCTTCCTGTTGATCACTAAGTCCTTTGACACAATCCCAGTTGTCTTTGTTAGTTTTCTTACTTTCTCGTTTGACAAGCTATTCCAAGCTCTTCTTGTGCATTTCTTACGCAAAAACTGGAATCAGCCATTTCCCTAAAGAGCACTGGTTTCTTGTAGTGAGAAATGGTATTTTGAGACCACAGTCTGGCACCGACCTACCTAGATAAATGCTATTGGATTTGTTATTAATTCAAGGTTTTTTTTTTTTTTTTTTTGTGAACAGAGGGAAATGCAGATTTTTTAAAAAAGAGAAAATACATTGTGAGTGCATACTGATATTTCCTATTCAAATTTAGAATCACACGGTTTAAAAGAAACGCTGTTAAGAGCACTTATAGGGAGAATCAAAAGTAAATGAAGCCGGGCTTGGTGGCTCAGCCTGTAATCCCGCGCCTTTGGGAGGCTGAGGTGAGTGGATTGCCTGCGCCCGCGGGTTCGAGACCCGCCTGGGCAGGCAAGACCTCATCTCTACAATAAATAAAAAAATCAGTCGGGCGTGGTAGCACATGCCTGTAATTCCGGCTACTCGAAAGGCTGAGGCGGAAGGATCGCTGGAGCCCAGCAGGTCGAGGCTGCGGTGGCTGGGAGCGGCCACTGCACTCCAGTCTGGGTGACAGAGTGAGACTCCAGCTCAAAAAAAAAAAAAAAAAGTAAATGAAGAAAGTGTAGCTAGTCATAGATAACTGACAAAAGTTATTAGAAACTTATTTTTGTAAGTAATATGCATAGTTTAGAATATCATCCATATTTAATGTACATGACAGTTATTTCTCTTCTGTGTTTATTACTAGGATTCTGCTGGAAGAAGTAAGAGTGTTCACCACACATTTTCTGTTCAAGAGAATATTCATCTCAGTTTTGATCCCTTGGCATCATTTATTCTCCGTACTGACTACTACATTGTGGTAAGTGAATTCAATTAAACATTGTATATGTTGCTGGGTTTGGTAAATGCATAGTCCTAAATAATATAGAGTAGCTCCCCCTTATCCACAGTATCACTTTTTTTTTTTGAGTCAGGGTCTCACTCTGTCACCCAGGCTGGAGTGCAGTGGCATAATCACAGCTTACTGCAGCCTCTACCTCCTGGTCTCAGATAATTCTTCCACTTCAGCCTCCCAAGTAGCTGGGACTGTTGGCATGTGCCACCAAACCTGGCTAATTTTCTGATTTTTTGTAAAGATGAGATCTCACTATGTTGTCTAGGCTGGTCTTGAACTCTGGACTCAAGCGATCCACCTTGGCCTCCTGAAGTGCTAGGATTACAGGTGTGAGCCACCACATCTGGCCCATAGTTTCACTTTCCATGATGACCCTGGGTCATCCATGGTCCAAAAATATTACATACAATAAGATATCTAGAGAGAGAGAGACAGACTATAGTTACATAACTTTTATTACAGCATATTGTTATAATTGTCCTATTTTATTATTAGTTATTATTGATCTCTTATTGTACCTAATTTATAAATTTAACTTTTTCATATGTATATATATATGTATAGGAAAAAAACATAATCTGTATAGGGCTCAGTACTATCTATCAGAGGCTTCAGGCATCCACTGGGGGTCTTGAATGTGCCCCCCATGAATAAGGACTACTGTAATCATATAACAAAAAATCTGCACCTTATAAAAGTGTAGTTATTTGTTTAGAAGAATAAAATGCTTTTTTTTTTTTGAGTTGGAGTCTCACTCTGTAGCCCAGGCTGGAGTACAGTGGCGTGTTCACAGCCACCACATCCTCGACGCGCTGGGCTCAGGTGATCCTTCTGCCTCAGCCTTCCAAGTAGCTGAAACTACAGGCATGTGCTATCACACTCAGCTAATTATTTATTTATTCATTGTAGAGACAAGGTCTCACCAAGTTGCCCAGGCTGGTCTTGAACACCTGGGCTCAGGCAATCCTCTCACCTTGGCCTCCCAAAGTGCTAGGATTACAGCCTTGAGCCACTGTGTTCAGCCCTTGTTTTTTTGAGTCAGAGTCTCACTCTGTCGCCCAGGCTGGAGTGCAGTGGCACACTCATGGCTACTGCAGCCTCGGCCTGCTGGGCTCAAGCAATTCCTTCTCCTCAGCCTTCCAAGTAGCTGGAACCACAGGCGCATGCCACCATGCCCAGCTACTTTCTTGATTTATTGTAGAGACGAGATCTCACCAAGTTACCCAGGCTGGTGTCGAGCCCCTGGACTCAGGCAATCCTATTACCTCTGCCTCCCAAAGTGCTGCGATTACAGGCGTGAGCCACCGTGCCTGGCTAATAAAATACTTTTAAGTTGATTTGAACTCAAAGAAGCAGACAGGTTATTTGGGACATGTTCTACCAACCTATAAAATTAAGATAACTAAGGGAATTATACAGACTATGCTAACTTGAATTAAAATTTTTTAAAGAATAATATTTCTTCCTACATTGATAAAACATGCTCATTGTAGAAATTTGAACACTTTAGAAATAGATAAACTGAAATCAGCTCCACATTATTCTTTTTTTTTTTTTTTGAGTTAGAGTCTCACTCTGTCACCCAGACTGGAGTGCAGTGGCCGCTCCCGGCCTGGGCACCGTCGATCCTTCCGCCTCAGCTTTCCAAGTAGCTGGAACTACAGGCGCGAGCTACCAAGCCCGGCTAAGTTTTTATTGATTTATTGTAGAGATGAAGTCTCACCAAGTTGCCTAGGCAGGTCTCGAACCCGCGGGCTCAGGCAATTCACTCACCTCAGCCTCCCAAAGTGCGGGATTACAGGCTGAGCCACTGAGCATGGCTCACATCATTCTTTTATCACACTACTCATTATTACCATTGTATTTGTTATCATGAGCCTCTTGGTTTATTTTTCTCTCTCATATACATTTGTATATGAGTTTTTAATATAAAATAAAATACTCTTATTCTCTTTTGCTGCCTGATTTTATTCCCTCTAAGGAATTTGTCTTGACTATTTTCTCATATCATTTTTAAATTATTTTATAACATGATAATAACTATATTATATCATCATAGATATGCTTTAATTTATTTAACTACTTTCCTGTTGTTGGACATTTGTTTACAATTTTTCCCTCTACTATATAAATAATGCTTATATATATATATATATATATATATCAACATAGTTTCTTGAGATAAATTTCTAGAAGTGAATTGCTAGATCAAAGGGTAGGCACACTATTTTATATACTTTACTTATTTATTATATAACTACACAAATTATTTATTATTTATTGTCATTCTCTCCCTTCAAGTCTTCCCTCATTAAAATATAATTCCCATGAGGGCAGAGAATTTTTTGTCTATTTGGTATGCTTAGCACATAGTAGACCCTTAAGAAATACTTCCTAAATGAGTAAATGGGTATTTTTTTTTTTTTTTTAGTTTTTAACATACACTATTAAATTGTCTTTCAGAGAAGTTATGACAGTTTACATTCTGTTTCCTTCAGGTCTCCTTTATCCTGGATATTAGCATAAAATACAAAAAAGATATACACTAAAGTTTTGAGAAGAATATTTAAATCTCCCACAGATAGCTTTAGTGTATGTCCTCACAGACTTAAAAATGTGAATTCAGTATTGTTTTAATTTACTTTTATTATATGTATGACTGAGCTTTTTAAACATGATTAATGGGCATTTGAGTCTTACTACTACAAACTTTTAAATCATGTATTCTTTTTTTTTTTTTAAAGACAGGATCTTACTCTGTAGCCCAGGCTGGAGTGAAATAGTGCCATCATAGCTCACTGCAGCCTCAAACTCCTGGCCTTAAGCAATCTTCTCACCTCAGCCTCTCAAATAGCTGGGACCGCAGGTGCATGTTACTGCAACCAGGGTACACGCACACGTGCTCTCTCTCTCTCTCTCTCTCTCTCTCTCTCTCTCTCTCTCTATATATATATATATATATATATATGTGTGTGTGTGTATATAAAACATGATAATAACTATGTTGTCATAGATATGCTTTAATTTATTTAACCACTTTCCTGTTGTTGGACATTTAAGTTGTTTACAATTTTTCCCTCTACTATATATATATATATTCTCTATATATACTGAATATATATATAGAGAAAATAAAATATATATATATTTTGTGTGTGTGTGTGTGTGTGTGTGTGTGTGTGTGTGTGTGTGTGTGTATGGAGGGTTTCCCTATGTTGCCCAGACTGGTCTTGCACTCCTGGGACTTGAGTCCTCCTGCCTCGTACTCCCAAAGCCCTAGGATTATAGGTGTGAGCCATCATGCTCAGCCTTTTTGTGGATTTTTATAGTCACCTAGATTAGCATCCAGGAACTTTGGATTTTGTTTTGTTTTGTTTTTTTTGAGTTGAGGTCTCACTCTGTCACCCAGACTGGAGTACAGTGGCCACTCCCGGCCACTATAGCCTCGACCTGCTGGGCTCCGGCGATCCTTCCGCCTCAGCCTTCCAAATAGCTGGAACTACAGGCGCGCGCTACCACGCCCGGCTAAATTTTGATTTATTGTAGAGATGAGGTCTCACCAAGTTGCCCAGGCGGGTCTCGAACTCGTGGGTTCAGGTAATCCACTCACCTCTGCCTCCCAAAGCACTGGGATTACAGGCTGAGCCACCAAGCCTGTCTAAACTTTGATGTACATATAAGCCACCTGGGGATGTTATTAAAATGCAGATGCTAATTTAGTAAGTCTAAGAAGGGGCCTGAGAGTCTGTATTCCTAACAGGCTCAAGTTGATTCCAAGGATGGTCTCTATAATAAATCAAAATTAACTGGTCGTGATAGTGCGTGCCTGTAGTTCTGGCTACTTGGAAGGCTGAGGCAGAAGGATTGTTGGAGCCCAGCAGGTCAACAATGGGGTGGCTGTGAGCATGCCACTGCACTCCAGCCTGGGTATAGAGTGAGACTCCAACTCAAAAAAAAAAAAAAATTAGCTGGACGTGGTGGCGCATGCCTATAGTTCCAGCTACTTGGAAGGCTGAGGCAGAAGGATCACCTGAGCCCAGTGGGTCGCAGCACCGGTGGCCGTGAGCATGCCACTGCACTTCAGTCTAGGAGACAGAGTTAGACTCCAACTCAAAAAAGAAAAAAAAGAAATGACAAGGAGAAAACAGACGAGATATGGGTGTTAATCTGGTAGTTTATTTATGGGGAAGATGGTTCAGGAGTGGCCCGCTGAACAGGAAAAAACTCCTCCCAATTGTAAAAGACATACAGGTTATATAGCATCTTACAAAGGGTGGAATGCAGGGTTAAGTGTGAAAAGGGAAGTGTCTCTAGTGCATAGATGTAGTGTGAGAAGATGCTTATACATACATGGTATGTACACAAAATGGCTGTGAATTTTCTCCAGGGGTGGAATTTTTAGTATTATAATGAAATAAAGAAAACCAAAGATTATGGGCGTTGATCCAGGCATGCCCAGTCTGGTCTGAATCAGCCCAAGGGGCTGACTGTCTCAAGGAAAGGTGCACGAGAACATCCAGTATGCCTAGCTGCAAGATGTGGTCACCAGGCACAGAGAACACTTTTCCCACGGCCTCAGCATGACCTACATGCCCAGGCATGGAGCCTGAGGGGAAGGGGACATTCTGCTTTGGCCACTGCCAGAATCCCTCCCCAGGCTCCAACCCCCTGCTTGGGGCCATATCCAGGGTATGCTCATGTTGTCACTGAGTGTGTGTTGCTCTATAGCTTAACAGAAGCCAGCTCCTTGGTGTGTGTCCCAGGTGCAGGGTGAGATCTCAGGTCTACCAGAAGGCAAGGGAAAAACATCTCACACAACATTCTTAAATTTTATAATAGTTGCTGTCTGTACAGTGTAAGGCAAGTGTGGAGAAAAAAGAGAATGAGCCGAGTGGCTAGACAAAAGAAAGAAAATTCATTAGAGGGAAAGGAAAGGAAGACTGGCCCTTGAGAAGAACCCACAGCTTGTTTTTTTTGGCGGGTCCCTCTTATACCCCCTAGCTGGGATCTGGTGGTCACATAGCACACATAGTCCTGAGGTGGTCATGTAGTTCTGAGATGTAACCTTGAGGAAGCAGGCTAGTGTTGGTGATTACGCAGCCTGGAGATGTGGCCTTGAAGAGGCAGGCTGGTGCTGGTGGTCATGTAACCTTAAGGACACAGGCGTTGGCAGTGAAAACTAGATGTCGCTTAAGCAGGGGAAGGAGTGGGGAGGGGTGAGTGAGGTTTGTTGCTCCCTTACATAAAGCAAGTCCCACAACCATTGACCATCGGCTACTGACCCCAGACAGTAAGCCATTATAGAGATAGTTTAAGAATAAGGTATGTGGTAAGTGGGGTCCCTTGTTTCTTCAGGATGCTGTCAAGGAGATCTGTACAGCCATATGCTTATCGTTTAAGAGAAAATATGTTTCTCAACCTTATGTTCAGGGGTCAGGACATAAAGATAATCAATTGCTCTCTATTAAAGTGGCTGTGTAAACAATCATGCAAGGAGGAGAGAAAATTTAGAAACAATAGATTTGTTGATTCCTTTCTTTTTTCTTGTTTGAGTCAGAATCTCACTCTGTATCCCAGGCTAGAGTGCAGTGGCATGCTCACTCTGTCTCCCAGGCTCACGTGCAGAGACATGCAGCCTAGATCTCCTGGGCTCAGGCGATCTTTCTGCCTCAGCCTTCCAAGTAGTTGGAACTACAGGTGCACGCCACCACACCTGGGTAATTTTTTAATTTATTGTAGAGGTGAGGTCTCGCCAAGTTGCCCATGCTGGTCTTGAACCCATGGGCTCAGGCAATCCTCTCACCTCGGCCTCCCAAGTGCTGGGATTATAGGCATGACCCACCACACCTGGTCCTGATTTGTTGATTTCTAACAATAACTGCAGCTTTGCAGGACTCATGTCGCTTCTACAGCTTTTATCCCCTGACCTCATATTAATAGGCAGTTTCACTGTATTCTTTTTTTTTACTCTTATACAACTTTATTTTTGTTTTATTATTATTATTATTATTATTATTTTGAGTTGGAGTCTCTGTCGCCTAGGCTAGAGTGCAGTGGCATACTCACGACCACCACAGCCTTGATCTGCTGGGCTCAGGCAATCCTTCTGCCTCAGCCTTCCAAGTAGCTGGAACTATAGGCAGGCACCACCACACCCGGCTAATTTTTTATTTATTGTAGAGACAAGGTTTCGCCATGTTGCCCAGGCTAGTCTCGAACCTGTGAGCTCAGGCAATCCTCTTGCCTCTGCCTCCCTAAGCGCTGGAATTACAGATGTGAGCCATCGCACCCATCTTGTTTTATTATTTTAGAGACAGGATCTCATTCTATCACCTAGATTGGCGTGCAGTGGCACAATCATAGGTCACTGTAGCCTTAAACTTCTAGGCTGCCTCAGCCTCCTGAGTAGCTGGGACTACAGATACATACCACCACACCTGGCTAATTTTTAAGTTTGTTTTTGTAGAGTCAGGGTCTCACTATGTTGCCCAGGCTGATCTTGACCTTCTGGCCTCAAACAGTCCTCCTGCCTCAAACAGTCCTCCTGCCTCAGTTTGCCAAAGCACTGCAATTACAGGCATGAGCCACCATGCCCAGCCTAACTTTAAAAGAAATTATTCTTCTCCTAGTACAATGAAAATGGACTGTTTTAACTTTAGCACTTAATATAACTATATAAAACTACTTAAGCCGGGCTCGGTGGCTCAGCCTGTAATCCCGCGCCTTGGGAGGCTGAGGTGAGTGGATTGCCTGAGCCCACGGGTTCGAGACCCGCCTGGGCAGCGAGACCTCATCTCTACAAAAAATCAAAAAATTAGCCGGGTGTGGTAGCGCGCGCCTGTAGTTCCAGCTACTTGGAGGGCTGAGGTGGAAGGATCGTTGGAGCCCAGCAGGTCAAGGCTGCAGTGGCCAGGAGCAGCCACTGCACTCCAGTCTGGGCGACAGAGTGAGACTCCAACTCAAAAAAAAAACAACAAAAAAAACAAAAAACTACTTAGCTTCAATATTAGTCTTAGTATCTAAATTCAGTAAGGTAATTAATGCTGAGGGAATTTATATTTTCTTTGTTGGTGGCTCAGATGTTTGATTTTTTTTGGGCCATATATTTTTGTTATAGTGTCATATTTTTGTTAATGATGCTAAAAATAAAAAAACCCCACAATTATGCTTCTCATTATACTCATATAACATTTCTAACACCAGATGTGTGGGTTTTACCAAACCAAGCAATTAATTCAATTCTAAGTGGACACTGACTGGGTGTTTTACAACTTAACTCAGTTCTGACACTAAACTGCCAGAAGTGAGCACAGAGTGCTCTGGTTAAAGTCAAGGTTGCCCTTCCCAACCTCACCCCTCCCCTCCCCTCTTCGGATGCCAATTGTAAGTCCAAGTTGTCACCTGTGCTTCTGACGGGCTATAACCAGAGGTTCCCAAGACCCCCTCTTAAGGTTCAATAATTTGCTAGAATGGCTCACAGAGCTCAAAAAAACATTTTACTACTAGATTACTGGTTTATTATAAAAATATACAACTCAGAGCCGGGCTCCGTGGCTCAGCCTGTAATCCCGCGCCTTTGGGAGGCTGAGGTGAGTGGATTGCCTGAGCCCGCGGGTTCCAGACCCGCCTGGGCAGCGAGACCTCATCTCTACAATAAATAAAAAAATCAGCCGGGCGTGGTAGCGCATGCCTGTAATTCCGGCTACTTGGAAGGCTGAGGCGGAAGGATCGCCAGAGCCAAGCGGGTCGAGGCTACGGTGGCCGGGAGCAGCCACTGCACTCCAGTCTGGGCGACACAGTGAGACTCCAACTCAAAAAAAAAAAAAAAAAAAAATATATATATATATACACACACACACACACACACACACACACAACAACTCAGGAACAGCCAAATGGAAGAGATGCATAGGGCAAGGTATTGGGGTTGGAGCATGGAACTTCCATGCCCTCTTCAGGCTCATGCCACTTTCCCATGTGTTCACCAGCCTGGAAGCTCTCTCAATACCTTCAGTTAGGTTTTTTGGAAGCTTCATTATGCTGACATGACTGATTAAATCACTGGCCTTTGGTGATTCATTCAATCTGCAGCTCCTCTACCTCGACAGAGGAAGGGGGTTGATATGAGATGGAAACGTCTCACCCTCTGATCACATCGTTAGTCCCCCTGGCAACCAGCCCTCGTTCTTAAGTGTTTTCTAGAAGTCGCCTCATTCACATAAACTATGGTGTGCTTGAAAGGGGCTTGTTATGAATAACAAAACCTCTCCTTTAACTTAATCATCCCTGAGTGGTTTTAGGAGCCAAGGACAAAAAAGAAATATTATGACAAAAGATGCTCCTATCATTATTATCACTTAGACCATTATGAGGATTTTGGGAGCCCTGACCAGGAACTGGGGAGGAAGGCCAAAATATATATTTCTTTTTCTTTTTGTTTTTAGTTGGGGTCTCACTCTGTCATGCAGGCTAGAGGGCAGCAGCACAATCATAGTTCACCACAGTCTTGACCTCCTGAGCTCTGGCCATCCTTTCACCTCAGCATTCTGAGTTGCTGGGACTACAGGCACACGCCACCATGCCTGGCTAATTTTTTTAATCTTTTCATAGAGGTCTTCCTGTGTTGCCTAGGCTGGTCTTGAACTCCTGGGCTCAAGTAATCCTCTCTCCTGCACCTTCCAAGTGCTGGGATTACAGGCATGAGCCTGGCTCAAAATATATATTTCTTATATGACAGTATCACAGATGCCATTTCCATTTTTATTGATGAAGCCATTTAAAAAATCTTAACTGAAACTACTCTTGTATCTATTTCACATTAACATCTATTCCTCTGCAGGCCCGGGTCTTTTTTGTGCTGATTGTGCTGATCCAGCTCACTATTCTCATTACTTTTAGATATCGAGGATACCCAGAGCTTAGAGGTTAGTTACGGTTCATTTTATTTGCACAAGACTTAATTTTAAAGTATCACATAATACCCTCACTATTGCCAAGTGACAAATAGCAATATAAATTGTCTCTATATGAGTTCTGTAAGGTGTATCCTTCAAGCTATAATATTTCTTTCCACGACTGTTATCTTGAAAAAAAAAAATTCAGATTTTTGCTGCTACGTGGCAGTAAGATGAGGCTTTGTCTAAAGCAATATTTCTCCAATCATAACTGTATAGAATCACTGGATTGCTGCCTAAGCTCCCCTTCTATCCCAGGCTAACTTAAATCAGAATCTCTGGAGGGTGAGATCTGGTATTTTCCATAAGCTCCCTTAGGTTATTCTAATATGCAGCCAAAGTAGAGAATCATTGTTTAAAGTTTAAAGAATGGTTGTCTTTATGGCTAAATAATAATTTACAAAAGAATGAATACTTGTTATTCTAGCTGAATATGTAGATTAATACTTTGGGAAGTACCAGACTAAAACAAAAAAGCTGAGAGAGTAGTACACGAAGAAAGGTCATGCATTATTAAGCTTTGTATAAAATTAACTGTCAGCAGGCTGAGCAATGTTATAAGTATAAAATAAATTTGCTGGTCAATTGACAAAGACATAACTTATTTAATCTTCTGCTGACTGGTTTATGCATGAGAGAAATGGCTAGCTTGGGGCTGAGGCTCTATGGTAGGTTAGTCTATAACCATGGAATGGAGCTTCTCTGAGTAAAGCCCTTATACTTGGGCTTTTTGTCAGTGTGTTGGGAAAGCATTTGGAGAGCTTTAGGGATACGTTTTTTCTCTTCTTTTCTTTTTTTTTTCTTCAGAGTTGGGGTCTCGCTTTGTCGCCCCGGCTAGAGTGCAGTGGCGCAATCATGGCTCACTGCAGCCTCGAACTCTTGGGCTTGAGGGATCCTCCTGCCTCCCTCCTTAGTACCTGGTACTACAAGTGTGCACCATCATGCTTGGCTAATTTTTTTTTGGAAATGGGGTTTTCTCATGTTGTCCAGGTTAGTCTTGAACTCCTGGGCTCAAGTGATCCTCCCACCATGGCCCCCTAAAGCACTAGGATTACAGGCTTGAGCCACCGTGCCTGACCTAGGAATGCCTTTCAGTTGGTGTAAGAAGATAGCTGTGAGTTAGGAACTGCATTTTGTACAAGAAAGGACTGTTTGGACAGATGCTCATTTAAAATTAAAATAAAGATATTTTGATATTTTTAAATTTACTTTTGATATGCTTGTTGGAAGTTTGTATATTTGGATATTAAATCCCATAGAAAACAGATCTGGTCATCCTTTGAATAAAACACTATCTTTTGAACCTAAATAAAGATAAAATAGTATATAGTACTCTGGTAGGTATGCCTATTGTTTTCAGTCATTATATATATGAGTTTAATATACTGTGATATATAAACAATTATATATATGTCTCAACTACACAATGGTATAGTTATTAGACATTTATAATATATATACGTACACTGGAGGGTGTACCAAAAATATATACACATATTTTAAGAGATGTTATCTATGTATTACATTTTGAAGTTAAATTAAATTACAGTAGCGATGTGTAGTATGATGTTTTCTCAACCGTGCTTCAGCCATTTTCTTTGACTATCCTACCTTTCGCATGGTGATGCTAGCATTCATTTGATTAACGCTATCTTTTGAGTGAATGCCATACTTTAAATGTGTATATATTTTTTTGGTATCCCGTATATATGATTTACTGATTATGGTTGATAGCTCATGAAAGTCTTCTAGAAAATGTTGTAAAGAAATTGATCTTTATATGTGCTCACTGAATTTTTCAAATTTATTCTGTTTAGAACCTTCAGGATTTGTAAATCTGACCTCATTTTCCCTTCATGTCTTGAGCAAAATAAACATCTTCTACTATTCTATGTTGTTGCTGACCCTGTATACAGCGCTGGGTAAGTAAATTAGTAAACTTGAGAGTGTGGAGAATTCTGCCAAAGAATATACTGAGAATTTTGACAAAAGAATAATTTAGACTCTTGAGGGCATAACAAATGGCACATGGATCCTTCATAGGTCATTTCCTAGGACATGGTTTTAGAAAATAAAGTTCTTTCCTAACACATTTAAAGGACATTTAGTTGAAACCAAGCTAACTTAAGGGTACTGAGAAGAACATTAAATAATTAGTACTTAGGGCCAGGCGTGGTGGCTCATGCCTGTAATCCCAGTACTTTGGGAGACCAAGATGGGACGATTGCTGGAGACCAGGAATTCGAGACCAGCCTGGGTGATATAGCAAGACCTCATCTCTAAAAAAACAAAAACAAAAGCAAAAAAGAATTAGTATTTGTGTAGAAACCTAACAAAAGCTTAAATGCCACCTTCTTAGAGCAACCTTCTTTGACAACTTTAAAGTTCTGTCCTCTATTTCATCACACTTTTTCCATCATTACCTTTACCAGAGTTTATGATTATCTTCTGTGTATATTATCTATTTCCTCATTAAAATGTCCATTGAGGCCAGGCATGGTGGCTCACTCCTATAATCCTTGCAGTTTGGGAGGTTGAGGTTGGCAGATTATTTGAGTTCAGTACTTCAAGACCAGCCTAGGCAACATAGTAAAATCTTATCTCTATAAAAAATTTAAAAATAGCCAGCCTTGGTGGTGCATGCCTGTAATACCAGCTACTTGGGGTGGATCTGAGCCTGGAAGACTGAGGCTGCTGTGAGCTGTGATCGTCATTATTGTACCACTGCAGTCCAGCCTGGGCAACAGAGTGAGACGTTGACTCAAAAAAAAAAAAAAACCACATAAATAATAAAATTAAATTAAATTAAATATCCTTTGGTGGTCATGGTGGCATGGGCCTGTAGTCCCAACTGCATTGGAGGCAGGTTGGGAGGATTGCTTGCGCTCAGGAGTTTAAGTTCCCTTTGTCCTTTGGCGTTTTGTCTATTTTGTTCCCTTCTATGCCTAGCACTAAACGCAATACTTAGTATGTAGTTAATTGAATATTTACTAAAGTATGACTCTTAAAAACTCAACTCAGAAAGAGATGAACTGAGATGAGCAATAAATTCAGGCTTATTTGAACTTTTCTGTTGTATAATTATATCCAATACAACGTGTCGCATAACGACATTTTAGTCAATGATGGACCCACATATACACCAGTGGTCCCATAAGATTCCAGTGGAGCTAAAGGTGTGTAGCAGGCTATAGACCTCTAGGTTTGTGTAAGTACACTTTACAGTGTTTGCACAAGGACAAAATCACCTAACAGTGACACATTTCTTAGAACATATCCTCGTGGTTAAGTGATGCATAACTGTACTTGAAAAGTCACTCGGCCACTTTTGAAAGCAGAATCACTGCAAGTCTATTTTTGGCTTTTTTTGCTTATATCCCTTAGTGACTAAGAGTCAGTTAGTAGATTTAGCCTACTTGTTGCCTAATCTACCTTACGCTTTTATTCCACTTTTGCATTTTGCTCATTAGTAACTCCCCCCAGAGAACAAATCAAAATGTGACACTTTACAATTCTGTGTAAACTATGGTAGATCCCCTTTGGAGGTAAGTTCTGTGTTGGAAACTAGGTTGAAGCTGTTTTCAACACTTGTTTTTTTTTTTGGGTTTTTTTTTTGAGTTGGAATCTCACTCTGTCACCCAGACTGGAGTGCAGTGGCCACTCCCGGCCACCGCAGC